TTCTTCTTCTTTCTAAAAGGTAATAATATGTCATTTATTTCAAGTAGTACACCAGTTAAATATAGATATACAAACTTTAGTTTGTGAAGTCTTTCAAATTGTTGCTTCAAATGAGAATGCATCACACAACACAGGTGGTATCCAAAACAGCACTGGACACTTAAATGACAACAAGTAATGAATGCCTCTAAGAATACAGAGATTGAACGTAACTGGTACTATATGGCCCACTACAAGAAACATGATCTTTCATGCTTGGGCCTAAAAATGCCCTCATTCCTCACATTAGAGGCTTTTAAGAAGATGTTTCTAGTTATTTGATGTAGTGGTCTTGAGAAGACTAAACAACCCTTTGAATCATCGCACAATTTGTGAGAATGGTCACTTCAAACACCCATTCATGTGTTGCAGTTACAAATCAGTTTACTTTGCACAAGCTGCTCTTTATCCTCATCATTGACAGACATGATATCCTATTTGTTTCTCCCACGAAGCATGAGCACTTAAGAGAAACCAAGTTAAAACATTTGTGTAAACAACAAAATAAATAAATTGGATATTAAAAATTCATATATAAAAGTGTTTTTTTTTTTTTTTAACAGGAAAGGTGATTAAACGATACAGGGGTGGTTTATGAACAAATTAGTTTTTATAAAGTGCTAGTGTGAAAAGGCCAGGATGTCCAGGCCTATCATGGCCTGAGTGGAAGGTGTGGTCCTTGAATGTAACCTTATGGATCATAGTCAGCAGCCTGGGATTGGGCGCTTAGTTCTCCAAATGTAATTCCCTGCTTTAAAATTTTGCTTTCCAAATGTAATGTATGCTTTAAAATTTTGCTTTTATGTGTATGTATGTCGAAACCCTGTCTTTTTTCAATTTTGATAGAGAAGGGAATAGTTGGAACTCCTGTCCAGGAGTCCTTTTTCCTGTGTCCCCATAGGGGAGATTTCCCTTCTGCATTTGTCCTCGTGACCATTATCACCAGAACAAAAAGTGACAGGAAAACCTAAAGCTAACAGTTGTCACCAGAACAGGAGATGAGGGTGAAACTCGTCTTTTGACAAATGTCTAAAAGGGGAATGTCCCTCCCTTTGCAGAGATTTTCTCACAATTTATATTATGCATCCAGGACAGAAATTAAAGGGACACAGAAAAAAATAAATAGACAGGGTTTTACAGGGTTAATACAAAATAGACAGGGTTTTTACAGGGTTAATACAATGTGACAAATGGCAAATCAAACCGATAGTGGTGTAGTAGGGACCATTTGCAATATCAGCAAGGTTTTATAGATGGATTATACCTGGGTCATATTAATAGATATTGTGGACATGTCACTAGTATGTCCTGCCAATCTGATAGATGTAACATGCTATTGAGATTCTGTTAACATTGCTGCACATCCAACAATCCACCAAAAAGTTGTATAACATTAAAAAATGACCCTTTGGAGAGTACCTGGATTTACAAGAAAGCTCAAACATCATCGGAACTAATGAGTAGTCAGTATGTTTTAGTTTGGCCTTAAGATAAGATGGAATTTGAGTGAATCTGAACAGTTCAGTTGTAATTTATTTTTAAAATATTCTAAAGTATAGAGATCATTTCCATCCAAGAAATCCCCTATACACGGTAAACCTTTACTCTACCACAAATGAAAAAGGCATAAGAATAAACCTGGAGTAAATTCAGGATTGTTTAGAATGGGGGCTAAAAAATTATGAGAGGAGTGAAGTTATCTTCTGGTCCTCTGGGCCTGGTTTGCCCCTTTCATTCATTGGATTTCAGTTCTTTCTGTCATGGAGACTCAGCATCACACATAGGTATTACCCAAGGTGGTCTGCTTGCAAAAGCAGACTGCCTAAGAAATGCCTATTCTGCAAGACCAACACTGACCCATCAATGCATTTTGAAATTTGCAGAACTCCTCCTAAGAGTCAGTCTACAGATTACATCAAGACTGAGGCCTCTTGAGAGGAATATTTGGGGGGGTAATGCAATGTTTTAAGGAAGCTATGTTCAACACCCAACCACCATCACTGCCTTTAAACCCCCTTTTCAAAGTCAATGCTTCCATATGTGTTCTTCCTTCAGCCCCCCCTTACAAATTACTTTGTGCCACATTTTGATATAAAACATAAAAATAGAATAGCACAGAAAAAAATTAAAGATAAGGTGAAAGGAATAAACCAAACTGTTTAACCACTATAAACCAGTCTAGAGAACATTCTTCCTCAATTGGCCAAAGTAAGTGCCTAGGTAAGAAAAAAACAGTTTACTGTCTGCAGGGTCCTAAAGGCTGCACAGTAAGTGCTAAAGGGGTGCAAGCAGTCCCTGGGCTGCAGGTTAGGCAACAGGGCTCTAAAGGGTAAATTATACTAGTGATTTCCACTTATACATCCTAATTCTATTCAATTTCTTGGATCATTGGGACCCATAATTTTATGCATTAAAGCTGATTTCCGGATTTACTGTTTCCTTAACTAGTTTGCTTAGGCGCAACTAACCAAAACATTTTTACTATTTTCTACACTAGTAGAAGTGCACCCACTGGCAACACTGTATACACTGTATGTAGCCTCAGCTACATATAGTATACATCCTTCTATTCCAGCAATGAGTTCAGAACTTCTGAACAAAATTGAGCTGGTCTGAACGGTGCTCACCCATTCATAGGCAACTTTCTATTCCCTGAATAAATATAAAACTTCCTCTGATTAGCTGATGCAGAGATGTGGGCAGATGACATCATGATCTTTGATATAGCCAATCAGAGGAAGCTTTGTATTCATTCAGAGAATACAAATCTGCATATGAATGGCTGAGCACCGCTTATCCTGACTCAATTTTGTTCTGGATTTGAGACAAGAAGTTTTCTTCTAGCTGCTGGAACAGAAGGCTCTATACTGTAGTAGCTGAGGCAACAAAGTTTATACAGCGTGCTCAGTGGGTGCACTTAAGGTTGAAAATAATTTGTTTGGGCCAACGTGGTCCAAACAAACTGTTTAAAGAGACACTAAATCTTGAATTGAGCTTTAAGAGCCTTACCCTAGCCATACTATTGCTTAAAAAGTGCACATTTAAAAAGAACAAAGGTGTTTACACATGTGCATTATGCTCTGCTTGATTCAAGACTTCAAAGCAAGCAGAGTGCAGTTAATATGAAAAACAAATGATAAAAAAAAAGTAGGAAGAAGGAAGACCTGTTTATGTTACCTGTCAAAGGTATGTTACCAATCTCTCTTCAAATCAAAGAGTTCACTTTGCAGCATTGATCAAAGAGAACTCTTTGGTACACCTTAAAGTAACACTAAACAATATCCTTACTCTCTTTATATTCTATACACAACCACCACTTAATGGTCCTGTAATCCATTTTTCATTAAATTGTTTCTTACTGTGTTTTTCTGCCTCCTTGTAATGCCGTCCATGAGCTCTTAAACCTCCCCTTTTCCCCTTCACTTCTGTTTGTTTGGAACGTGTGGTGCATTTTAGTTGTGGCCTTTTTCACTGCACTATGCACACTACAAATCCCATAGTCCATCTCAGAAGTGAGCAAGGGAAGGTGGCTTATACACAGTGAGACCAATGAGAATGAATGTAGCTACCCTCTAGCAGTAGCAAAAAAAAAAAAAAAAATTAATGTGGAGATTTAGAGGAGGCTGAGAGCAGAAAGGACTGTTTTGAGTTAAGAATACATCTTTGAATTTAGTGTCATTTTTAACCACTTGCATACTAGGCCAATTCTGACAGTTCTCTCCTACATGTAAAAATCTTCTGTTTTTGCTAGAAAACTAATTAGAACCCCCAAATATTATATATATTTTTTAAGCAGAGGCCCTAGAGAATAAAATGTATGGGACAGGAAAACCAGGTAAAGGCGATCGTGGCAGGAGGGGGGACCCCCTTCCGCCACCTGTAGAAGTAAATGACTGGATATATAGCCCCTTGAATCGTTTCTACTAAAAAAAGATCACCGGCTGAAATTTTTGATACAGTTGCAAGTATCATCCTGGTATAAACCACTTCAACCCAAGGACATCATATGACGCCCTACAGGCTGGAAGTAGTTCAATTCCACACAGCCAAAATTTAATGAATTACCTGTACAATATGAGGGGCGGTGCACAGTAAAACACTGAAGAGTCCAGTGGATAGCAGTCTCTGCTCTCCACTATATTTAGGTCACTAGATGTGACCTCAGAATCCAATCCCCTCCAATGAGATCAGAGTGTTTATGTGGAATAATAATTTTTTCCACATGCTCTGCTACAAGGTTGTTGGCAGCCATTTGGAGTAAGTACTTCACTGATTATGTATTTATTGATCCGGCTTGGTTAGACAATGCTATGTGATCATGTTCTCCTGCGTTGGCTTTTTTTGCTTCTCCCTTGGGGAGAGTTTTCTAAAATCCTACATTGAAACAATGTTGCACTATTAAATTCCTGCCATCACTGCTAACATGGGAGATGTCTATAACCACATTTTAATATTAATTAGTACTATTATAATAGTAACATTAGCATCAATAGCACTAATTTTCACTATAGTTTAAAAACCTGTAAATAATCCAGTAAATTCGATTTTAAAGATATATTTTGCCAGTTTACTATGGCTTTCTACTCATTTCAATTAAATGTTAAATCACCTAAAATCTAGTGTACTGCATTATTTTCAATGGCATAAGCCGAAGAAAGAGATTTCTTCAGGTGTATTTTTTTCCTGAACTTTCCTATCTTTTCACTATTTAATATGAAAACAAAAATATGGAAGCACAAGACTATTATGTAAAAATCACATAAACAACTTCTTCCCTGATGCCAGGCTGCCAGGCTGAACTGTGTGATTCAGATGCACTTATTGATGGCATTAACTGACAGCCAACCAGTTCATCTGCCTAATATAAGTGGAGGGGCGGACTGACCATTTGGAAACCCGGGCACTGCCCGAGGGCCCGGGGTCAGTAGGGGGCCCCATGAGATGCCCCTGGTACCTTTTTCATAGGCTTTTTTGAGTTTGGCCAAGGACACAGGGGCCCCATGATCCCCTATTGCCCGGGGGCCCCATGAGTTGTCAGTCCGCCCCTGCGTAAGTGTTGAGTCCTGACATTTGTACATAAAGATAAATGCCACCAGGTAAATGTTTGAAAAGTCATATAGACAGGGCTGCTGCTAGATTATTTTGCACCCTAGGCAAGACAAGCTACTTGCGCCCCCCCCCCAAAAAAAAGAAAATGTTTGCAAAAAAGTAGAAAATATTAAATCAACAAAATATGAATCTGCTAAATTTCTTTTATTTTACAAAAATAAGTACCATAAGTTGCCAATATTAACGACAAAATATATATTAACCAAATATAAATTAACTGTATTAACCAATCAGACAGAGAAAAAAAAAGGACACAGAGTTACAAAATTCCACAATGATTAGTAGCCGGTAGCTGGCTTGCAGTAAGGGACTGAGTCTGAGAGGAACATTGGAAGGAGTGGCAGCTCAGCTGCTACACTGACCCACAGACACCTGGCATCTTTCTCTGTCCTTTCTTCCTCCCCCTCTGCCACCCCCCTCCTTCTCCTGTCACCTCTATGACCTGCCATCCTCCTAGGCCCGGCTCACCTCTGATGGCTCCTGCTGGGGTTTGGAGTTAAGGGTGCGGCTCTCAGTGAGGACAGGTGGCCTCTCAGCACTACACCATTTCCCTTTCATACACATCGGGCCCCGATCATCCCACACACATAAGGTTAAGCCTGCAACCAGAGCACATCCCCGCCTATAGATTGGCTCCAGCTGTGTAGAAGAAGGTGGAGCCAGCGTTGGACACACCCGATCTGGTCACTAGCCAGCTACTTGTTACAGCTGGAGGACCGTGCGTGCCAGTGTGTGTACTGGAGATGTACGGACCGATCCTCCAATCAGAGACTGCTGACCGCCTGGGGTCCTGAGCTAATATCAACACTTCCCATCCTAGCAGGAGACAGTACTTAACTGGTATATGGATTACTGTCATATATATATGTACTAAATGGTCATGTGTGTGGACAGGCTGTGAGGCAATTGTGCAGAGGAAATATACCATCATTCCTTCATAATTCCCTGTGTATGAAGAGAGGAGGAGAAATGAAGAATTCATACAGAGGGTCCATAGGCCACACAGAGAGAGTGCCGGCCTGTGCTGTACCCAGGCGCCCTTAAGTGGCAATGCGCCCTAGGCAGCTGCCTAGTTTGTCTAGTGGAAGCACTTGCCCTGCATACAGACCATTTTGGGAATAGGGTAATACAGGAGGCAGGGAGGTGAACATTGTAATAATAACACTAAATATATGGTCACTGAAAATACACTATACCTCCTCTTTAAATGAAATGTTTCTAACTTTCCCTGTAAAAATATCTTAGTATCTGGTACTCAGACATTTCTCAACATCCATTTTTGATAAAATGAGTCCAAAGTGTGCCATATACCATTATTCAGACTGTTCATGGTGGCAATAAGATGAAAGTTATAAAACAGGTTTTAAGTTGGGGCAATAAGGGGTCAGCATTTTTTTTTTTCTATAAAAAGATAAAAGAAGTTTAAAAACTATAAAGGGCCACTACAGAGAAATATATTTCCTGGAATTCACAGATACTTTTTAGAAATTTATCTTGTAGTAAACAAATGTGTAGTAAACATCATTTGTGTGACAAATGCGGGAACCTGCAACAGGTTTATGTACATGTTGGTAAGGTGTATATTAATTTGTAACAACCCCGACAAAATTGTCGTATGCAAATCACCTGTGATGTGTGATTTACAGGCAGATGAGCTATTTGGAGAAGTTCCTACATCAATGTAAATGTATCAAATGACAGATCCAAAGAAACATAAAGACAAATTTTGTGCCAGAATTGTCTTAAAGATGTAACTCAATAGTTACATGTGCAACACAATCAATACTTTACTCCAACATGGGGGAGGTCTTATTTACCTCCAATTTCCTTGTCATTGATATGATGGGAAACTGTTGCAACAAGGCGCCACACAGTAAAAATGTTGCAAATTCAAGAACTGCTTGAATTTCTCGCACGTATGAGTACTTAGGTCTCAAGCACACTGGACATTTTTACAGCTGCTTCTAGGAGAATCAGGCATTTTTGTTTTTTACTGCCTCTAAACCCCTCTGCACGTTATCCTATGTGTTTATGCACACATAGGATTTTAGCAGCATTTTGTGTCAGGAGAGTTTAATGGCAGAAAAAAAAAAAACACTGCCAGGGTGTCCTGGAGCAACTGAATTTTGTCTGAAAGAAACGCTTGATGTGCTTAAACGCGTCTAAAAGCATCTAAACACGTGGTAACGCTAGTCACGTTTAGCGCATGAGCGTTAATTTATTTCAATGGCCAAAATAAATGATTAACAATTCTGGCCAATGAAATTATTTAAAACCCAAATGCTTTACGTGGGTAAACGCATGTAAACATAGTACACACTTTTACAAGCGTTAAGCGTTTTTTTTTTTTGCCAAAATGCTGCTGGCTTCTAGTTTTAACAGTAAAAAATTATTGTCAGTGTGCATAAGGCCTAACGATAAATGTGCCTCAGGGTTTTTCATGAATTTGGAGCAAGGCATCTAACTACATACACACCACAAATGTTTCACAAATGCCTTAGTGAATAGTCCACTTTATATTTTGTTAGCTGTTTTGAGTTAAGATAGTACCTGCAATGATAGTTTTTAATATATAAAAACATTTTTTATTTCATATATTTTTATTGACATGTTTCTCCCCATTTAAGTGCAGGCTATGCTGTCCAACAAAAGTGACAGTTAGTAAGTGGGGCAAACTATACAACGCTGCCAGGGGTGCTTAAAAGTTCTCAGCTTATATTCATATGGTTTAATTTTTTTGTCCAAACAAATAAACTTTTGCTGCAACTGCTTACAAAGTGTTAGCTGGAGTTAGACTTCCATTTAAAGCCAAATGTCAATCTGAAACTAACTTGTGAGCAAGGTGACATCGCTGCTGTGCAATTTACCCGCAGAATGAATAGCATTGTCACTCTTTAAAAAGAAGTGGAAAAATAACAGATTTGCTGGCAGGATCAAACAGTAATAACACTATGTTAACTAGTTGCCGACCGCAGATAGCCGAATGACGGCTGCACTGCGGCCGGCCAGTTCTGGGTGGACGTCGTATGACGTCCTCCCAGAACGCGCTCTCCTGCGTGCCCCAGGGGGGGGCGCGCACCTGGCGATCTCCGTGATCGCTGTGTCCTACGGACACAGCTGATCACGTGATGTGGTAAAAGGCCAATCACAGAGGCCTTTTACCACGTGATCAGCGGTGTCCAATGACACGCTGATCAGAGGGAAATGCAAGTGCCGGTTCTCGGCTGCACTTTCCTCACGCTGTCAGATTGTGAGGAAAGTACTGCCGAGAACCGGCAGTTGTCAGAGCGGGGATCGGCACCGATCATCAGGGCACTGATGATCAGTGCCCTGATGATCGGTGCCCAGCAGTGGCACCCGCAAGTTCCGCCCACCTGTGCCCAGCAGTGCGCCCACTAGCTCCGCCCACCCGTGCCCAGCAGTGCACCCACCTGTGCCCAGCAGTGCACCCACCTGTGCCACTCTGCAGTGTCACACACCTGTGCCCAGAAGTGCCACCTACCTGTGCCCAGCAGTGCCACCCACCTGTGCCCACCCACCTGTGCCCACCAGTGCCACCCACCTGTGCCCACCCACCAGTGCTGCCCACCAGTGCCACCCACCAGTGCAGCCCAGCAGTGCTGCCAGTCAGTGCCACCAGTCAGTGCCCAGGGGTTGTGCCAGTCAGTGCCGCCAGTCAGTGCCCAGCAGTGATGCCAGTCAGTGCCGTATATCAGTACCCATCATCAGTGTCACCTATCAGTGCCACCTATCAGTGCTGCATATTAGTGCCGCCTATCCGTGACACCTCATTAGTGCTGTCTATCAGTGCCGCCTATCCGTGCCACCTCATTAGTACTGCCTATCAGTGCCCTTTAGTGCTGCCTCAGTGAAGGAGAAAAAATACCTGTTTGAAAAAATTTTATAATAGAAACAAAGAAACTTTTTTTTTTTTTTTTTCAAATTTTTTCCACTTTTTTTATTTATAGCGCAAAAAGTAAAGCGCCCAGTGGCGATTAAATACCACCAAACGAAAGCTCTATTTGTGAGAAAAAAATGATCAAAATTTCATATGGGTACAATGTTGCATGACCACGCAATTGTCAATCAAAGTGCGGCAGCGCTGAAAGCTGAAAATTGGCCTGGTAAATAAGGGGGTATAAGTGCCTGGTAGGCAAGTGGTTAAGGGGAAAACTCACAAAAACAAAAACTACTACAAAACTACTCCAATAATGCTAGTGACAGACTGCATTATATATATCATTTTTTATTTCATGCATAGTTCCATTTTAAGATAAATAGGAAGTGAGTTGAATTTCCAATTTCCTGTAAAGAGAAATCCAGAACTGGAGCCTTGTAACCTCATATATGTATAAGGCGAACACTGTAACAAAAGAAAGATGTGCGGAAACAAAGAAAGCCATTTATCAACACACTTCCTCTGGTTACATGGGGCAAGCACGTGTAACATATTGTTATGCCAAAACATCCATACCCACTACAGTTACTCTAGACACATATTGTATTACTGAAACACTTTAGATAAGTCACTGCAAATCAAGACCATACCAGCATTTAAAGAAAAAAAATGGGATATTTTGAGGAAAATAGAACCATGTATTCAATCAATCACAAAACAAAAATTTATTGCATTAACATTTATTTCAAAATTATTCCAAATATAAAGTTTCTCTCTGACATTAAAAGCCTCATAGTCAAAACAGTATTAAACCCAAAACCAAAAATTGAATATTTGCAGCTTACCAATCGTTAGATGTGGTTGCTGTATTAGTTTTCTTTAATTGGGATTTTCCTTCTGTTTTTCCCTGGTGATCTGGCCAGTGACACACCTCCTGTATTAAAGAGACACCACTCTTGATTAAGGAGCACAGGGAGCACCTTTGAACAGCAGCATTGTCAGTCTGGGGGGAGGAGAGTGTTAGAGTAGTAGCAGATTTACATACACTAACAAATTGATGCCAAACTCCAGCTCACATTTTATAAGCAGTTACAGCAAACAGTTTTTTTCCTTTTGAGATAAAGGTTTTACATCAATAAATAAAAGTTGAGCATTTTAAGCACTCCCATCAGTGTTAAATGGTTAGTATCATCCTTGTAACTGCAAGAGAGCATGTTCTGTTGAAAGACAACAAAATTACTGGCTGGATCACCAGATGAAAGAAGAAATAAGACCTAAAAAAGAAACTAATGCATCCATTACATCTAAGAAGTAATAAGCTGCAATATAATAATATGTTTTCTTTTGGGTTGAAAGTGTTACTAAACCCACAACAGTAAAATATGTCTGTATATGCAGTAAAGCGTGCTTGTTATATTCACCATGGAGCCCAAGGGGTTAATCCTCCACATTGTATAAAAAAAGGATGTTTAATCCTGACTTCTCTGATCCTCCCCTTCTGCCAGTGTCTCCCAAATATCTTCTGATAGAACAGAGGCTCGGTGGCAAACTGCACATGCTCTGTTTGGTGTGTATTGCAAGAGAGTTTTTTTTCCTTGGAAGAGTGCATGTGATCAGCACAAGGCCAATCAGCACTCTCCAGATAGAGGTCAGGGGTTCTGCATCCTGTTACAGGAGAATGAAAACTCCTCCTACAAGCTGTAACCAGTACTCTTCTGGACACTGATAGAAGTCACAAGACTGCTATATACTGCTGATGGGAAAAGGTATTTAGCATTTTATATTTACTAAAATAATTGCATTTCCATGTTGTTTGTACTGTGGGAAACCAGATAAAGTGAATGCAGGGTCCTAGGTTTAGTAACACTTTAATACTGCTTTAAGCACAGTTGTTTGTACATCGTTTGTTTGGAAAAGATTAGTCTATTAAAAATGTGTTCTCAAACCTAATAAACACAACGTTTAGCATGTATCATAAACTATGATGACAGTCTGTGAAAGTAGAGAAGGACAGACTTTTACACATATTGTGGAACTAACTAAACAGTTTAAACATTTCTAACCTGACAGACCAATAACTGATGTACACTGTACTGAGAAAATAAGTTGCCAGCACACCATGGATTGTTGTTATAAAGTCCAAAAGTTTTATTGGGGAGTTCACATCACTGGTTAAATAGTGCAACAACTCTGGGCCATGCAGGACCCCTTTGTCAGGTATGTACTTCAATAACAATTTGGACTTTATAATGAAGATTCATGGTACGCTGGTGACATATTTCCTCTATAATTTACACTGAGTAACAAGTTGCTACAGAAATGTTTAAACTTCATGCTCCTTCCAGTAAGGATGGTGATAGGGATGTAAGATCTGTACTGAATAGATAAATAGTGCTGCGCTAATCACTAAACCTAACCTAGGTATGCACTTATATCACCTTAGTTAGAAGATCTGTACTTGACACCTAAAATTGACAGGCTCGTTTAAAGTGTGCAAAAGCGAAATAGGCGCCTGCTGACCCTCTCTGGTCTTTTGTTGCAGTTGATGTTACTACATTTGAATGCTCTCTTGACTTTTGGGGGAAACTCACCTCCTATAGTATTTTGATCTGATTTTGGAATCTACACTCACTAGCCACTTTATTATGTACACCTTGCTAGTACCGGGTTGGACCTCCTTTTGCCTTCAGAACTGCCTTAATTCTTCATGTCGTAGATTCAACAAGGTGTTGGAAACATTCCTCAGAGATTTTGGTCCATATTGACATAATAGCATCACGCAGTTGCTGCAGATTTGGTTACCTGCACATCCATGATACGATTCTCTTGTTCCACCACATTCCAAAGGTGCTCTATTGGACTGAGATGTGGTGACTGTGGAGGCCATTGGAGTACAGGGAACTCAGTGTCATGTTCAAGAATTCAGTTTGAGATAATCAGAACATTGTGACATGGTACATTATCCTGCTGGAAGTAGCCATCAGAATATGGGTACACTGTAATCATAAAGCGATGGACATGGTCAGCAACAATACTCAGGTAGGTTGTGGAGTGTAAACAATACTCAATTGGAACTTCAGCAAGTCGTCTTCACCACGTCTAGATGCCTAAATTCACTGAGTTGCTGCCATGTGATTGGCTGATTAGCAATTTGTGTTACCAAGCAATTGATCAGGTGTACCTAATAAAGTGGCAGGAGAATGTATATCAATACTAACTGTTTACAGCAATTACAAAAATACAAGAACATCTATAAATTATATAAAGTGTGTAATCCATTTTCAAGCTCCAAAGTGAGTACATGACTGAAGACAATTCATCGCTTGAGCAGTTGTGGTTTTCTGGCCAGGATCTTGGTTACAGGTCCAATGATGTAATCTAGGGAATTCATAAAGACTGTCAAAGACACTCTTTAGAATTCTGTAGTTCCTCAGCATGACAAGTGTCAGTGTTTGTGACAAATTCATGTATCTGTCAGAGACAGGTACATAAATTTGTTAGAAACATGGTGGGGGCAACATTGAGGTCAGATTGTACCCCAGACATCCCTGTCCTAAGTGCATGTCTAGCCCAAGAATTAGAGTGTCACTGATTGCTAAGATACCATCAGCTGTGCCGCCGACATTACCATAGCAACCAATGATGCATCTCTGTCCCCATTGAGCCACCAGGAGAGTCCTCTTTTTATTTATTTATTTCAGGTACTTATATAGCGCCGTCAATTTACGCCATGCTTTACATATATATTGTACATTCACATCAGTCCCTAACCCTCAAGGGGAGTGCAATCTAAGGTTTTTATCCAAAAATGTTGATTGTCATATAGTGAGTAATGACATCCGGAAGCTTCCTCACCTCTTTGTTTACATTGAGCTGTGGGCCAGGGAATCACTAAGCCTACAGCTGAATGGGTTTGGGGATAAGTTAACAGTTGCTAGGAAGCCAGTGGCCACTGGTGTTCTAGCAACCATGAGCCCTGTGTGGAAAGTTGTCACCTTCATGACGGCTTCCCTACATAAAATGCCTCTGAGCACTGGTATCTATATGCCCAGTTAGTTTAAAATAAAAACTGCTTATATGTGAATTGGTGGTCATTTTCTATTTAATCTGTTGCAATTATAGCAACAGATTCTTGAAATAGTGGGCCATATATTTCAATAATTGGGAGTGATGTCAATACATAGCATTTCAGTATACATAGACATAGCTGCATCACCTAATTGTAGTTGTCTGATATAACATTAGAAAGCTCTTGCTTCCATAGAGCCTTCTCATATGTCTATCAATATAAGAACAAGGCACAACACTATTTTCTGACTTAAAAGCCCCAAACAGAGCACATCTTCACAGCTCTCCACTAGTTCAAGTGATCTGACTCACACTCTGGTTCATTTCACAGCTTTACAAGTGATTAATAAGCTTATACAAAACTCAAAACATGACCTGTGTGTATGTTTATGGAGAAACACTAAGCTAATGGATCCAATGGAAGGTCTTTGCCTCCCCTAATGCTGAGTAGTGAGATAAGCATGGTACTGAATGACAGCCTACATTATTGATAGGATAGGATTAGGATATCTATTCAAAAGCAAAAGGTTATCTTAAGGCCTACTGGTAGGTATAATTGACTTCTGAGATAAGTCTGGTTTGGGCTCACAGTTTCCATGAGTAGATTGGGAATGCTGCCAAGGCTGGTATTTCTATACAGCAATTATCCTACCTTGAATACCAGGTTAGCCTTGGATCTGTATAGGTAAAGTCAGTTAGCTTTCTGTAGCCAAGGGGAAATCAGAGGACCATACTGATGTTTGGAAAAAAATCAGCACTCTTTTGAACAAAAATTTGAGGTCATTTAGACTTCCATCATTTTAGCTTTATCTTCAAATAATGTTTGTGCTGTCTTATTTGGTAAGACAACTTCCTTTCCTAAGTGCTTCTATTTCATGGGAAGCACTCTCCGTTATTGATCATATGTACTATTCTTGTCTTTATTCATGTGGGGAATATTATATGCACTCTTTGGTGGAAAAATATATATTAGTGAATAATATTTTGAAATCTATTTGAAAACAATCCAAATAAAAATTTGCTCTAAATTCTATAAATTAGAAAGCTTTACTGTATCTGTATCATAAATTAAAACTAGAATCCATTTTGAAATGAATGTGATTTTCTTTTGTTGCTGTATATGCTAAATTTTCACAGCTTCCATTTTTCTTTAGTTCATTTACAAGACCTATTGTGCTGGTTTATGGTTCATGCCTGCTTTTTTAAGGATGTTAGACTTTAATGTGTTCAAAATCTGTAGCTGTACATGCTGTGCTGAGATGTAATACAACAAAGGATCAAAGACGTCCTCAAATTAATACAAATATATAATTATAAGGCCCCAGATAAATCAATATATAAATCAATAGACTTCCTGATGATGCCGCCTGGCGAAACGTACATCAAAGTGTGATTCCTTCACTTCCGGGTTCTGGTGACGTCACATTCAGCCGAGCGAGAGTGAGGCTTGGAGTGCACGTTGGCCATTTTGTGGATTTCAGAGCTGTACATGCTGGTGCTGGCTAACATAGCACCTTTTCATGTGAGTGCATTTCTTGTATGGATGTTGTTAAACAACAAATGCTACGCTTAGAATGGCTTAATCTCTGGTTTATTTGAGTGGCATACATTCTACCAAGAGCATAGAGAGCCAGTCCTGAAGCATTTGCATACTGTTTGCTTGGCTGGAAATACCAATACCATCCCTCCTGATGATATAACCTGCGGTCTGCTGATGAGTAGGAGAAAATCATAGGACATCCAGAGGCTGATTCTTGGCTATACCTTTCCAAAAAAGTGCTTTTTGGCCACCATAACAGGGGTCAAATGGGTCTGGTGAGTGAGCAATTCACTTTTATTTTATGAGCACGTGGAGAAGACATGAGAATTCATGGTTGTGGCACTTTAAGGAAAAGAGACTGCCATCTGTATTGCTCACTAAGTGCATCACATGTCCATATTTCTCTGGACTTTATTTTGGGAAAACAGCATATGGACTTGCATATTCTGTTGGTTGATGTACACACTTTAATAAGTGTTTGATCACAGCGCCTTTCTATTTATCTATATTATGTCCTCAAATTAGTCCTGACCAGGGGGGCGGACTGACCATTTGGAAACTCGGGCACTGTCCAAGGGACCGGGGTCAGTAGGGGGCCCCATGAGATGCCCCTGGTACCTTTTTCATAGGCTTTTTTGAGTTTGGGCAATGACACAGGGGCCCCATGATCCCCTATTGCCCGGGGGCCCCATGAGTTGTCAGTCCGCCCCTGGTCCTGACGTGTTACATAGGACAATGCCCACTTCCTCAGAGGACAAGTGACACTCAGTTATTCATCACTGTTATGTAAGCATATTAAAATAATGAATATAATGCTAACTGCAACTAAAGAACAATGTTTAATGGTACATATTGCTTAACTATTGCATATCTGACAGACACAGAATTTTGCTGCCGAAGTAAAAAATGTCGGCTCACCAGTTCATTTGTTAGATAGGTAAGGGTTATGATTTCATGAGAAATAGTATTTTTTTTATTCTTTATATAGATACACTGGCAATCTTAGGCTTTGGGGTTTGCCATTATAACATGTTGTTCTCCTTCAATGCTTTCATTTATGCTATGTTATCACATTTCATCATATATTATTCCCCTTTCTTCATAGGCACCAAAGATTTTTTTTGATACAGTCAATTCTAGACAACTATCGACTAAAGACATTTCACCTCTTTGCTGCCTGTCAAACCCTCCCCCCCACCAAAAAAAGCAACAATAACAATAAACTGACAATAAATAACTCTGTGTGATTGTGTAATATGTATATACAGTACTGTGCAAATATTTTAAGCAGGTGTGAAAAAATGCTGTAAATTAAGAATGATTTTAGAAATAGAAGTGTTAATAGTTGGCTCTCAAACCTGGGGAACAGACAAGTTGGGGTTTATTTACTAAAGCTGGAGAGTCCAAAATCAGACTCCCTTCTGCATAGAAACCAATCAGCTTCTAACCTCAGCTTGTTCAATGAAGCTTTGGCAATGAAACCTGGAAGCTGATTGGTTTCTATGCAGAAGGGAGTCTGATTTTGGACTCTCCAGCTTTAGTAAATAAACCCCGTTGTGTCTGGGAGAGCTGCAAGTTCCCTGAATATTTTAAATATTTTAAAGGTACACAGTGCAGTGCATTGGGTGGGGCCTAAAGGAGTGATGTCCCATGACTGAGTGGAGGACTGAACTAAGATAGCCCATAGGAACACCAAAGCAGACTCTGAATATGCGCTGCATGGTCACTCTTGGCTTTGTCATATTGAGTTTGAGCTATGTTTTTTTAAAATAAATGTTTACTGGGTTCAACACTATGAAAGTGTTTCCATTTGTCTTTGAGTGATATTGCAGCCCACGTGTTTGGAGCAGAGGTGATCCATCAGCTGGAGAGTGGCCATAATTAACCCCACATGCACCGACTGACCATTTTCTATATAGGTAATGTCCTTTCTGGCAAGCAGCTGATTTCTCTGGTTCTTCCACGGGTGAATTGGAGAAGAGACACGCACACACACTGGGTTTTGAGCATTTTGTGGGATCCTTTGTCTGATTTGGACTTTTTTCTTTTTGCTCTTGCACAGGACTTTTTTTTTTATTATTATTATTCTTGGGACTTTTCCTTTTTTTTTGGAAAAATTTGTTTTGGATGTATTTTATTTATATTTTAGACAGTTGTTTTATTATCTGTCATGTGATTGTCATTGTTTATATTTTGCACTATTGATTTGATATACACTATATTGGCAAAAGTATCGGGACGCCTGCATTTACACGCACATGAACCTTAATGGCATCCCAGTCTTTGTCCGTAGGGTTCAATAATGAATTGGCACTCCCTTTGCAGCTATAACAGCTTCAACTCTTCTGGGAAGGCTGTCCACAAGGTTTAGGAGTATGTCTATGGGAAGGTTTGACCATTCTTCCAGAAGCACATTTGTCAGGTCAGGCACCGATGTCGGACAAGAAGGCTTGGCTCACAGTCTCCGCTCTAATTCATCCCAAAGGTTTTCTATTGGGTTGAGGTCAGGGACTCTGCAGGCCAGTCAGGTTCCTCCACCCCAAACTCACTCATCCATGTGTTTATGGACCTTGCTTTGTGCACTGATGCTGTACACCACTGCACCCGACATTTTACATTGCACTTGGTGATGTAAGGCTTGGATGCAGCTGCTCGACCATGGAATCCTATTCCGTGAAACTCTCTACACACTGTTGTGCTAATCTGAAGGCCACACAAGGTTTGGAGGTCTTTAGATATTGGCTCTGCAGACAGTTAGCGACGCTAACAGTTATTTTAACTGACAATTACGCAGTCATGCAACGCTGTACATAAATTAAATCTATGTCCTTTTTTCCTACAAAGAGAGCTTTCTTTTGTTAATAGCTGATCACCTGTGCGTTTTTGCGCTATAAACAAAAAAAGAACGACAATTTAAAAAAAAAAAAAAAACAATATTATTGACTTTTTGCTATAAAACATATCCAGTAGAAAAAATTTAAAAATCAAGTCTCTTCATAAATTTAGGCCAAAAAGTATTCTGCTACATGTCTTTGCTAAAAAAAAATCCCAATACATGTAAATTAATTTGCTTATGTGAAAGTTATAGTGTCTACAAATGGCGGTATATACACTGGAATATAAAAAAAAAACCCAGTGGCGATTAAATACTACCGAAAGAAAGCTCTGTTTGTGTGAAAAAAGTGATAAAAATTTTGTTTAGGTAAAGTGTTGCATGACCGTACAATTGTCATTCAAAGTGCTACAGTGCTGAAAGCTGAAAATTGGCCTGGGCAGGAATGGGGGGAAAGTGCCCCGTAGGCAAGTGGTGAAAACAGCATAATTTCTTCTAGGTACACTTGCACATAGTTTTTGAAGGATCTCAACAGGTAGGTTGTTCTGAACATCTTGGAGAACAAACTGCCTTCTGTTACAGCCAAATATTTAAAATTTTGACTCAACACCTGCTCCCATTTGTTTGCACCCCAGTTCCTATGTTTTCGTGCATAGTTGAGTTGCTCAGCTTTTTCTCCATATCAGAGGTGTGGCTTTTTGGCTGCAATTCTTCCATGAAGGCCACATATGGTCAGACTTTGCCAGACATTAGATGGGTGTACCTGGGTCTCACTGGTTTCCACCAGTTCTGTGCTGCCGACACTGCTGGACATCTTCCAGTGTCAAAGTGTAAGCATGATGTGTCTTTCATCTACTGCATTAAGTTTCCTTGGGCAACCACTGCATACAGTTCTCAGCATTGCCCATTTTTTTGCACTTCTTCAAAATAGCTTGATGAATTGAATTGATGCTGGTTTGAATCCAAAGGGTTGTCACACCAAAATTTTTATTTGATTTAGATTTTTCTTGTGTTCACTCCCTTTGCATTTGTAAATTGATAAAAATAAACAATTAAAATGTATATTTTTGGAAGCATTCTTGCTTTACAGCATTTCTTCACACCTGCCTATAATTTTTGTGGACGTCTGTACATCTAAGAACTATCAAAAAAGATCTTTTCACCCATTAGGTTTTTATTGTCATCTGTAAGGCTAGGTTCACACCTATGCAGGTTGCGTTTGAGCCGTTTCTGCATTGCATTTTGTGTTGCGATTTGCGTTTTAGCACCTGCGTTTTTAATGCTTTTTTTTATGCGTTTGCGTTTTTTTTCTTGTTGCTAGGCAGATTTAAAATGCAAAATGCAGCAAAAATGCACTTCATGCTTTTCTGCAGTGTTTCCATTGAAGTCTATAGAACCAGAAATGCAACTTTATGCATTGAAAAAGTCCCTGATCCTTTCCAAAAAACGCACTGGGTGAAAACGAAGAGGTGTGAACATGTCTCATAGGAAATCATGTTAAATGGACTATACTGCGTTTCTGCAAAATGCTGTAGAAAATGCTTAGGTGTAAACCTAGGGTAAGTTGGGTCTATGGAGACTGAAAAAGAGCTTGTTGGCAGCCCACATGTGGTAGGTTCATCTCATTGTAGTTGAATGGTTAAAGAGTAAACCTAATATTCACAGGAGTCAAGGAATCCACTTGCCCCATATTTTGTCAAATTTAGTAGGGCAGCCTCTGGCTTCACAAGTGAGTCTATGAAGCAGGGAAACTGTATTCACCAGGAGTTTCCAGACTGAAAGCACTTTAACTGTTTCTTGACATCAAATATTTAAAACTTAAGGCCAAACACATTCACAATTCACTGTGCATTAAAAATGTGCATTAATCGATTATAGTTTGCTACAATGCATGTGGAAGTGCATCACAAACAGCACTGAAAGTACAAGCACAGGCCTCTTAAGGACTAAATATTCTAACAGAAAACAGTTTATTTTACAAATAGTCTGCATAAACCTTTTTTTTACAAAACATTCTGCTTTAAGTTTTTTGCAGCAATGGAAGAGTTAAGAGATTTAAAATTCACTACTACCCCCCTTGTGTATTCAGCCCCTCCCCATCTGTCTTTGCTGACATTGCTCAGATTGATGGCTGTACTGGATTAATCCCCACAGCATAACAAAGCCCTCACAACCTTTGCCTATGTGAATGGGAAATGTAAAAGAAGATATTTCTTCAATATGTATTGACAATCAGGAAAACAAGAGGAATCAGTAGTAGAAGACAGTTTCAGAGAGCTGCATTCTGCCACAGACAATAGACAGCTTACTCACTTTGGGTCATTTGCAACATCAGTATGGGGAAGTCTAGATGATCAATCACCTGTGATCTGTAGCTGTGGATGAATGACTATCAGATCCCATCACTCTACTGTGTACAAACTATCAGACTAATGTGGCAAGGATATCTCTTCATCAATGTCACAGTGTACAGTTAAGGCTGTACTGGACTAGGACAGTGCAGGTCCTTAACGCTGCAGGACATAGAGGTGCAAATATCTAAGGTTTCCCGTACACAAGAGCAGATTTTTGCATCAAGGTGGCCACACACATTACAAAATCATTGTTTCCTTAATTCAGTTGTTTGATATTCCAAGTAAATCTGACAAAAAAACATCCAGTGTATGAAGATGCTTAATGATTTATTCAGACTGAAAGTTGGCCACAGATATGAGGGTGCAAGTGGCATCCGAATTCCTGGGAAAGAATGCTTCAGCTGGCTGTCATTTAAACACTTCATATACCCATTACCTAAGTTTACATGGAGTGGGGAGAATTGAGGAAGAGGAGGTGAAGGTATACTTTATAAAGAACATTTTTTTCATTTGATTGATCTTTTTTTGTGGTACCAAATAATTTATTGAAATATCTACGACCAGTACATGC